CACACACACAGGTAGTCTCACACGCCCACAAACGCACACAAACGTGCATACTCCCATCGCCAGACACAATAAGGGAAAAGAGCGAGTTTGAGTTTTGAGTAAAGAGGGGCACATCGACACAACGACGGTCATTTAATGCAGGGGAGAAGCAAGACAGAGAGACAGAGACAGAGAGAAACAACAGACGGAAAGAAAAAACAAAGGTGACCTACCAGTAACACCCTCCAACTACACGCCGAGAGCTCCGCCCAGGAAAGAATATACGAACAACCAAAACAATCACAAATAAACAAACAACCAAACCAAAGGTATTTTGATACAAAACCAAACACAAAAAACAAGGTCTGTGAGATCAACCTACAATTTTAGCAATGTTGAGCTTGTTGCTAGGCAACCGGTAGAGGTCGCTATGGGCCGGCCGGTGCCTGACGTCCCAGATATGTACAGGCAGGACCAGCCAGAGCCATGTGCACGGAGTCCAGACCATCACTGTCCACTGGAAGCACGCGGTGAACTCTGGCCATGTGTTGTTCAACAACCGGCCCTCATCCTGGAATAAGATAAGAAAGAAAGGGAGGGGAGGGGAGGGGGTGGAATGTGAAATTATATAAATTTAACGCCCCTATCAACTCTAAAAAGGTTATTCAAGAGGCGGGACCTCTGGGTTTAATGCCCATTTCCGAAAGAACCGAACCTTATAGTACTTTTACTTTTTCTTTTTCTTTTTCATCCTCTGTCGCAGATAAGCCTCGCGGGGAGATTAAGTTTTCTGTGGTAGGCCAACTCTGCAGCTCTTTCGATCGAGATGTTATTATTCATTCCGGGAATATTAATATTCGTGTAAAGTGCCATTCTGAAGGACATAACGTAGGGCCGAGCTGATGCCCGAACCACCAAAGCTGCAATCAGACGATAACGGGTCAGGTTGCCTTACCACTAGGCTAGCCGACGCCACTGCGGTGGGTGTGAAGCAGAGAAATATCTCAACAATTAAGATCTCTTAGGACTTCGAATACTTCTGCCCTGCATGTGAAAGCCAACACGAGTCGAGTGGGATGTAAACATTCCAGCAAACATTCGTGGGTGCTCGATAGCGTAACTTTCAAATTCAAGAATCGAACTTAAACTTTCAGTGTGTAGGTAAAAGAGCCTAAACATTACATCACGTAAACCGGGAAGGCTTTCTCGAACCATAGTAACATGTACAAAAGCGAAAAAGAAGGGCCTCTTTTGATAAAACTTCGCAACCCTTCTCCCCAACCCCACCCCATGAGGCGCTCGTCAGTTTTTTGGGGGAAGTGGAATTATTGGCATCGTCTTAACGTAAAGCTTGTTCTTTTGTCATCCTTTCAATGGAAAAAAAATTACCCGTCTATTTTCAATATAAGTCAAGATGCGATTGAAGGAGGTGGAGGTCTCCTGGTTTTAGCGTACAAATTAGTGAGAAAATGGCCGACAAAGTTTGGCGACTTGCACAGCCAGAATTCTTGGAAACTATTTTTTTTTATAATGTGGGCCTTTAATCAAAGTTGTTGGGTTTTTTTCAGTGAAATCTACACAGCAATGTGTTTTAAATGGACATAAAAGATGTGGAGCAAAAAAAAAAGTCGATGAAAATTGCCAAACGGGAATTAAAATGCTGCTTTATTCGATTTCATTATTTTGATTAACGCCTCATTTCACGAAGATGCTTCACACATTCTGTATCAAGCCTCGGGTTAATTAGCCGTGCCTTCAATTACCACACGCAGTACCGTCTGTGAATTGTTGTTATGTTACCGAAGTCCTATCGCGGATTCAAACCTGGAGGTCTTACACACTATATAATTATTGCCCGACATGAAACCATTTATTGACCTAACGGCCCACCACTATCGCCTTTCACGGTGTAACAGTAGCTCATTCGCTTACTCGGAACATAATGATCAGAGACAAACATCCTACTTCCTCTTAATCTCTGCATCCTGTATTTTGCTTCCTGCTCTGTGCGAGCCGAGCTGCGAGTCTTGTTTCCTGTTTTCCAGCTCTTGCTCTCATTGTATTGCTGCTGCCACTGTTGTTGTTTTTGTTGTGGTTGTTGTTTTTGTTTTTGTTGTTGTTGTTGTTGCTGTTGTTGTTGTTGTTGTTGTTGTTGTTGCTACTGATCTGCTGTTGGGTTTGTTGTTGTTTATGTTGTTGTGATTGTTGCTGTTGTTGTTGCTATTGTTGTTGTTGTTGTTGTTGTTGTTGTTAATATTGCTAATGTTGCTGCTGCTGCTGTTGTTTTTGTTGTTGTTGTTGTTGTTGTTGTTTTTGTTCCTGTTGTTGTTGTTGTTGTTGTTTATCATGATGATGATGATGATGATGATGATGATGATGATGATGATGATGATGATGATGATGATGATGATGATGATGACGTTCGTAGAGATGGTGTTGTTAATGTTAAAGCTCATTGTTGGCTTTCAATATCGGAACTCCTCCTTATCCTCTTCCTTCTCTCCTCTTCCTCTTTATCATCCTCCTCCTCCTCTCCCTCCTCCTCCTCCTCCAATTTAGCATACAGACAAGGTGCGAGGACTCCTCTATGAGTTAACGGCTTCTCTCCAGGAGGATTTACTACTGTTCTCTCA